ACAACTAATAAACAGCTGCCAAGGACAAACCATCCACTGCAAGAGAGAGAAAAGGGGAGCTAAGTGCCACAATATGCTAACTGATCTTGTATTAATCATACATCAATGTTACATAACATTGGCTCAATTAGGAGGCTAATCCAAGTCAAGACTCTTCTTACACTGGCTGAGAAAGACACATGCCTTACCAGATTTCTGCATATGTGGTCAAGTTATGGTGCTTCAGTTTTTAACTGGCTCCCTGTTAAGAGGAGATCCTCATCAGGTATGTGTGGGACTCTTTAACATATGAGCACTCAAGCAACGAGGCTGGAAATGCAGGAGAGGAAGGGAGGGCTTGAGCTTAACAAGGGGCAGCATTTGGACAACCTTGTCTGGAAGCCAAACATGGTTAGGCCTGGTTAGTATTTGGATGGGGACCTCCAGGGAATTCCAACTCATGAGACTAAATTTAAAAATAAACTAGACTAGAAAATGATTAAAAATCATCCTGCAAGAAGGCAATGCCAAAAAAATAGCATGGATGTATTCAGGTAGTTAAGCAAAATAGAGCAGATGTAAAGTTTTAGTTTATAAACAAAAAGATGTTGGAACTCTAATTATGATTCAACTCAACAATTATGAAAAAAAGAAGAGATTTTGGAACCCCAATTCTTACCTGAAATTTTCCAGATGTGTTTCAGGGTATTTGTTTGCTTGGCAAGTTAACAAGGGCAGTGGGTGGCTTGGCAAATTTGCAAAGTGATTCACATTTGCACAAGCTTATTAAAAGGAATTGATTTATTTAGCAACATGTATACACAAGAATCATTACGTTCAAACCATTTTATTGAGAACTTACTCAGAAAAGTCTAATGGGGAAGTTTAATTAGTTCAAATAAATGCAGATATAAATCATCCAAGAACAATTAAGGCTAGTTTGCCTACTATCCAAAAACAGGGTGGTTGAGCTTGAGTACACATGCTTTGTAGAAACTAGGAGGGGAATGAAAGTCTCCTTACAATGCTGGGAGTTGGGGTGAAACCAGTTAGATTGCAAAAACTCTGATAGAAATTTAGTAGGACAGGAGAAGATAAATGATTTTGCAGCTGCCTGCTTCAGCTGTCCTTAGCCTCTCTTTTTTCTGTAAAAGATCCAGTAATCACGCAGAATATTAGCACGTGCTCTTACTTAAATTTTGTTTTGTTTCTTTACCAACAGGGGAGGGAAAGAAGAGGGGGTTGAGGTGGTGAATTAGTTCTCTATGGAAGTAATAGGTTTCCCCCCCTTATTATTGGTTTAATTTGGGGGAGTAGGTATGTTCTGTATTTTTTGTGTTCAGTTATAGCCTTTTAAATCATTGTTAATATTGATTTCTTAATAATGTTCTGTACTCATATATTCTGTCTCTATAATATCAATATTCAGTGTTTTTGAAGGAGGTTTGTTTTGTATGGATCCTACCTGTATGTATATTCTATTTGATCCTTTTAGGTTGAGGGTATTGAATTGGAATGTGAAAGCGATGAGAAATATTATTAAATATAGAAAAATATTTAAATAGACATAAAGCTGAAGTTATATTTGTACAAGAATCTTGTTTAAGAGATGATTTTTTTTTTGTCTGAAATTGAATATTTCATATATTAGTGGAAATAGTACTAATGCAGCTGGAGTTATGTTGTTACTTAGGAAAGAGATTAGCAAGATGAGTATATATTGATCCATATGGGCATTTTATTGTTAATTTGGGAATATTAGAATTTGATACAGTTCTTGTTAATTTTTATGGGCCTATAAAATGATCCTGAATTATTTCATATATGCATGGCAAGAATACGTATATTACTGTTTTACTATCTGATTTTAAGGGGTGATCTAAATCTTTTGATGGATGTAAAAATAGATAGGAATATTCCTCCTAAAAAGTATAATTATAATTAAAACTGGAAAGTATTCCAGGCTTATAAGCAAGAGTTTCATTTGACAGACGCATAGCATTCACTTTACCCCCAACCTAGGAATTATAATTTACTTCTTTTGGTCCAGATTAGATTTTTTAAAAATTTAATCTTCCTTAATGGAATATGTCTTACATTTTTCTATTCATTATATTGTTATATCAAACCATGCTCTTATTACTTTAATCCTCCAGTTTAAGAAAGTTTAAAGTGGTATTTTAATAATTATGTTATAAGAGGAGGACTTTTGAAGTTATATTAGACAATTAACTTCACATTTTTTTGAAATCATTCATAATTCATTCACTCTTCAGAATTGTGGAGTCCTTGATGCTCTCTGAGCTTGGTTGTTTGACTGCAGACATTTCATTACCTGACTAGGTAACATCATCAGTGCTAGTGTATGTGGGGTTTGCTCTATTTACATACAGTAGCTTGCCTTGCGAGTGTTGGTGAGGGTGTGGTTTTCTCCTTGGTAGTTCCTTGATTAGGGTATTGTTTTCTGCTTGTCTGCTTGTCTCCTTAGTGTCAGGTTCGGTCAGCACGGGGCTTCGGGGAAGCTCGCAGCCAGACCACGCGATCTCCACCGGCGGCAGCTAGCGAGGGAAAGAGGAACTGAAAGCGCCGCTAATTAATGGGCCACCTGCGCCCAGCCA